TTACTCTCCTTCCTATCGATGGTTTCTTTATAACTAAATCTTTTTTTTTTTTTTTTGCTTTGACCAAAATACATATGATCAAATATTATGAACCATCAAATTAAGATCTTACCATGGGCATTAAAGGTAAAAAAAAACATTAAAAAATCAGTTAACATCGAATTCATCTCAGAGCTTGCACAATTCACAATACATTGTTACCAAGTTAACTTATAATGAATTAAACTTAACCATAGTAGAATGACAAGATGAGATACAATGAATTTGGAGTTGATTGGAGAAACAAAAGAGGGGCCACATTTAACTTTGTGAAATTCAATGGACTAGGAATTAAATGACATTAGTGTATGAAAAATGGAAAGTTGATGTGACAATCCATTACATTATGTATTGCCTTGTCATTAATTTGGGATGTACAATTATGGATGTTGTGATGCAACGGAATCAATCTTGGAAGATGTTTTACGCTAACCATGGACGTACAACCAGTCTTGTTTTCACACAAAATCCACTAAATAATCACAAAACAGTTCTTAGTATACAACTAAATGTGAGGGAAACATCGAGGCAAAAACAATCCACACACAAGATCAGAGTATAAACATTTGTACTGCAATTTCATATACAACTATACAAGTGATGATATTTTTTTTACAAAATTAACTGTATTATATGCTATCGAAAGAATTACATATTTCAATAGTTGAACATAGGGTTGCTTGTCAATCAAACCCTATCCACAGTGATCATTTTTAATTAGATTATGACGATGTAATCATACAATAAAAAAAATTACGCAGATAAAAAAAGGTTTAGAAATAAACAAAACGGGCTCACACACAAATACTCAAAACCAAAACACAAAATCAAGACAAAGATTTAAACTACGAATAGAGTAATCTACATGTTTGGTCCCTGATTCTTTAAAAAATATAACACATTTAGTCCAAAGGCTCGTTTGTTGCAAAGATGGTCCTCAAGTTAAACTATATTATCAATGTTAATCCCTCCATCTTCACTTTGTTTGCCACATGTCGTTAGGATCCCCTTATGTGCAAGTCACATAAGGGTATTTACATCAGCCCCCTCCCTCTCTACTTCTCATCTGCTTCTTAAAGAAGAACGAGAAGTGGATTTTAATCTCATTCTTTAAGCTTCATTAAAATAAGTCTTCTAATTTGGAAATCACATTTTTGTGCATGTGGTCGATTTGATGTGATACAAACATCTTGGATATGGATATCCAACAACCATGGACGAAGATTCTACTCATGCTCTCAAGTGGTAATGGTTAAGGGCTTAAGGTTTGTTAGTTTCTTGAATGTAAGGTACTGAATGTTAATTTTTTGGCTAGTTTGATACATCTATGTGTTCAAGGGAAATGGATTTCATCCAAGGAATGCTTCATTCCATGAATTTTTTGGAAGCTAAAAGCAACTTTCTTGTTGCACAAATTGAAAAATGAATCGTTTGCATAGTTGTTCTTTAACTGTTCGTGATGGTTAAAGTTTATAAAACAAGAATGCAAAACAAAATAATTAAAATAACTCTTTGATTAATCGGAAACTAACTCAAAACCGATGTTTTACAATCTGTTCTCATAATCATAAACTTAATTATGGACATGTATATATAGTCTAACATACCAACTTGTATTAGACTAGGAAACTTATAACCAACTTGTCATAAACTAGACTTGCCATAAATTAGATTGCTTGGACCCAAGACTTAGGATTCCAACAATGATAACTAAGATGACTTAGTGGGTCTACATCATGGTTTTGGTTTGGTAAAGTTGTATAAAAATAAATCAGTCTTTGTTTTGATGGTCATGGTTTTTGGTTTAGATCGTACTTTGAATAATGATTTTTGTATGGGAATGTAATATACGTGTTTTTAAGTAAAAAAAAAGAATAATATTTATGGGTATGGACTGTTTTGTTTCCAAATTTTGTAGTTTGATGATTGTCGAAGTTTATGGAATTTAGTATTGAGAATGAACTTTTTGTATATATTGATAATGAGAGATGTACATGTATTTATACAGAGAAGAAACAGAGATTGCCTAAGATATCTCCACACAATAAGGAAACAATATATACACGTGAATATATAAGCTAAAGACTAGGACTACAGGACTCATTCTCTTGACCGAGTATATTGTTGTTTGTTGTTTATTACCCCCCGACAAGCTCAAGTGGAGGTGAAACTTGAAGCTTGGATCTTGGATCTGATTGTAGCAATGCGTTCTTTGGCCAAAGGTTTAGTGAATATGTCTGCTAGCTGGTCAATAGAAGAGACTCGACAGACTTGAAGATTGCCACTATCTACCTGTTCTCGAACAAAATGGAAGTCCAGAGCTATGTGTTTGGATCTGGAGCTGATTACAGGATTTTTGCACATGAAGGAAGCACCTACGTTATCACAGAGAATGGTAGGGGGCTTAGGGAGAGTGGCATGAAGATCACAGAGGAGATGTTGGATCCATAGTAATTATGTTGCAGTATATGCCAAAGCCCTATATTATGCCTCTGTACTTGATCTAGCTACAACCCGTTGCTTGAGAGAAGTCCAACTGATTAAGTTCGAGCCATGGAAAACAACAAATCCATATTGTGATCTACTATCATCTTTGTCAGACATCCATCCGGAATCAGAATAAGCTAATAATGAGGGTGCCTTGTTAGGGTGGAAGTGTAGACCATGATGTAGAGTTCCATTGAGATACCTTAAGATGCGTTTGACAGCTTGCCAGTGAAGAACAGTGGGTGCGTGCATGAACTGGCAAACCCGGTTAACAACAAAGGCGATGTTGGGACGAGTTATGGTTGCATATTGAAGTGACCCGACAATTTGTCTGTATAATTTAGGTTCAAGAAAAGGATCACCATGAAGTTGAAGTGTTGCACCTGCTGCTGCTCCTCTACCAAATCCAGAATTCGTTGCTTGGAAGAAAATAGATCGCTTCGTCCTCCTCTGGCTGAAGTCTACCCTATCTGATCGCTCTCTTGCAACTGTAGCTAGGTCAACATCATCCCAAATCGCCTGGCAAACTCTCGAACGTACCTTCCAGGCTCGTACTCGTGCCCAAAAAATGGCAATGACGATTCAATTGCAGACACTTTCGAAAGGGTCTCTCACCATGATCGACTACATTGAACGGAAGAGACAAATTGCAGACTCGTTGGCTGAAAATCTCACTCTTGTACCTGATGATGATCTAATTGGATATATTCTCAATGGTCTCGATTCATCCTACAGCTCGTTTATCTCTGCGTTCCTCGTGCATTCCGACACCACCTCTGTCGATGACCTAGTTGGATTACTCCTCCGGGAAGAAGCCAAAATTGATCAAGAATTGGCTCGACAGGCGCTCACACAGCTACCAACACCATCTGTGCCCGACACATCCTCTTCGTTCCCCTTGGCCAACCAAGTTTCTCGCAATCAACGCCCTAACAACACTCGCCAAGGCAACACCTCCTACAAAAAATTAGATGACCCCAACTATCGTGGGTCTGATAACCAACGACGTCGCCCTCACTGCCAATTGTGTAATAAGTCGGGGCATGAAGCAATAAATTGTTGGCAACAAGATAATCAAACCGACTACCCGTCGCGCTGTCCACCGCCACATGAATATATAAGCTAAAGACTAGGACTACAGGACTCATTCTCTTGACTGAGTATATTGTTGTTTGTTGTTTATTAAAGATGGATTAAAGTACATACGCACATATCCTGATCTGTTTGCCATCTTCCCACCTGCACTTGATCCTAATTTCTTCTTTAGAATCTCATTAGAAGATTTAAGACTCTCACCTTTGCAACTCGTAGCATTGTGACATTTAAAAATTACATTTAGAACATGTCATAGTTTATAATTGTTTTGATAAACTTGCTATTTTAAACCATTGTTCGACTTAAAACCTCATCTTGTATTGTCTCTCTTCTTTTAGGGTCTTCCAACGTGCTTGTTATAACGAGGTGCCACTAATGTGGTTGGACAATCACTTTCAGGCCATATGCTACGATCTTTATTTGATTCTTTCTTGAATAAGTATATTTCACTCCATATTCGTAGCAAGCAACACTTATGAACCCGAATTTCTGTAACCCCAACTTCTTTACACTCCACCACATCCCAATTAACTAAAAAAAAAAAAAGCTTGTTGTGCAAGGTAACCCTGTCAACTCCCACCTCCTACATGAGCATCATGTCATTTTACTAACACACAACCCATTTGTCATCCTAAGGATCACTTGCCTGATACTTGGAATTCCCACAGTACACCACTTTGTAATGATTAGCTTGGGTTTTGATGTTCTCAAATTTTTATTTTTTTTGTTGATTTTGGTGTCAAAGGGCCTTTGGAGTTGCCAATTACCTTTGCACATTCATCATGTGTTCCATAATTATTGTATTCCAAACAAGTGCATGATAGGTTTGTCTCTTCCATCCACATGTTTTTTGTTAAACACTTTACACGTGTTGTTTAAAATTTATAAGTACATCACAACGTGCTCTACATATAAAATGTGAATTTGCCCATGATGGAATTTATTTTAACCAATTATATGGGGTAATGCATGTTGTCGCACACTTACACAACACAAAGTAACAATTTCTCTATTGTTAGGATTACACCCTATTATAAAACGGACAATACATAAAGAGTAAGCTATCTTTTTTGTTCTTCTATCTACTACCTGGTTTGCCTATGACTGGAGTAGCAGAAGAACATGGTGGCAATTTCAATTTCAAAATAAATGCAACACTTAAATAGGCACAATTATTAAAAAAAAAAAAAAAAAAAAAAAAAAAAAAAAAAAAAGAGAGAGAGAGAGAGAGAGAGAGAGAGAGAGAGAGGGAAAAAAGTCGACCACTTGTCAAAGATATAAACCCAAATGTATCAAAAATATTGGCATTACAAGTAAAACTATAACAGGCATGACACTTCCAAGTTGCTGAATCAAATAGTAAACAAAAATAACTTCATTTCCTTTTTCACAGTTTACCTGGTGTTCATAAGTCTGATGAGTTCATCCACAAAATCAGTCATAGCAACTTCTTGCTCTATATTCGCCTCTTTATTCTTAATCTTAACAATCCCTTCTTTAATTTCTCTTTCACCAACAATCACCATCCATGGAATCCCAAACTCTTTAGCTCGATCAAAATGCTTATTAAGCCTCTTATTCGCCATAAACTCTGCATTCACTTTCGCATCCCAACACATCTGAACCAGTTTAGATGCTAAGCCCACATCATCCCCCAACACACTCACCAACACTTGTGTCTCACTCGCTCGAATCACCTACAAAAAACAATCAATCAACTCTCTTTCTCTCACAGAATATAAATATAAAGAAATGACACCCGATTTTTTTTTTTTTTACCTGATTTTCAACTTTTTGCTGTTCTTCCATTATTGTGAAGACACGTTCTATTCCCAAACTAACACCAATTGCAGCCACACGTTTTGTACCAAACATGCCTATAAGATTATCATAACGCCCACCTGCAGCAATTGAGCCAACTTGTGTTGCACCCTTGAAAACCGCTTCATATATAACTCCAGTGTAGTAATCCAAGCCTCTTGCTAAACTCAAATCAAGAACCACTTTGTCTACACATCTTTTGTCCAAACATTCGAATAATTTCTCCAAGTCTTTCAATGCTTGATTTGAAGCCTCGTTTTTCAGAAACACGCTTTCTTCTTTTTTCAGTTCTGATAGTAGTGTCAAAGGGTGGCCTTTCAGACACACGTATTTACCAATTTTCTCCACTGTATCCACATCTAACCCTTTCTCTTCAATCTAATAACAGAAAAAGTTAAGGTCAACCAATGTTTGCACATAAACACTAACTAGAAAGTAGAAAGATTCAGCATAATACCAACCATTTCCTTTCTAATTTGGTCAAATGATTGTTTGTCTAATTTGTCAATACTTGAACAAATGGTTCGCACTTTGTGAGATGGAACCCCACATATTTCCAGCATTCCATCCAGTAGCTTACGATGGTTCAACTTCACCTGTGCACACAGAAGGAAATGGGCAAAATGGGAAAAGAATCTTTATGTGAACGTGATGATTTGAACATGTAAAAAACTTACCTCATAATCACCGATGTTTAGCTCGTCTAGTAGTTCAACCAAGATTCTGACAACCTCAAAGTCAGCTGCTATTGTGTCATCACCAGCAATGTCAAAATCACATTGATAGAATTCACGGTATCTTCCTTTAGATGGGTTGTCTCTTCTGTAGACCTTTGCCATTTGGTACCTTCTGAAAGATGTCAGACCATTCATGGCAACATATCTAGCAAATGGAACTGTTAGGTCATACCGAAGGGAACAAATCTCTCCACCCTAAAAATCAAACAAAATGCCTATCAATCTTCAATGCACATGTTTTTGTTTTTCCTTCAAAAATTACCTAATAAAGGATGCATATCTCACCTGGTCAGCTAAATCATAAATCAACTTTGAATCCTCACCATACTTTCCTGTAAGAGTTTCTCTCAATTCAAATACAGGGGTATCAAGTGCCATAGCACCATGCCTCTTGAAAACATTGCCAATGATTGTGAAGGCTTTCTCTCTTACAGCCATTTGTTCTTTTGCAAAATCACGAGTTCCCTACAAAGTTGAAGTATATATATTAAGAAGCAAATGTGAAATGTGCAATGTCTTATCAAATACTATAAACATAAGAACTAAATGTGCATGGTGTTATTACCTTGGCGAGTTTGGGAAGCCTTCTGCTGTCATTGCTGTCAACAACTTCTTTCACTTTATTTAGTAGACTTTTAAAGTTGGGATCTTTCAAGTCCAGGAAGGAGAGGAAACCTTGTGCCACTTTCTCTACAAGAGATGAAGTATCAAATACCTTGATTTGTAATCTATCTTTTATAAACTGCATCAAAACAGATGTGCCTTTTCCCATAACCTTCTTTTTCTTGTCCTTCTTTTTATCCGGTTTCACATTTCCTCCATCAACACCCTCTTGACCTTTTACACTCCTCTCTCCATTCTCCATCAGCTCACTCCCCTCCAATGATATAAAAGAAACCGTTGCTTCCCAAGAAAGAATCTTTCTCACAGCTTCAAACAAAACATAAATTTCATGCAATGATTCGATGTAGTTCTTTTTCATCTTTTTTGTTACAGAAGACATAACGGAGGCTTCCAATATGTCAAGACCAGGACATCCAGCATTGAAACTCTTAACCAAATCAGGAAATATGTTGTCTTTTACCAAAGTGTTTGCTCGAAGCCAACTACTCTCACCAAGACTCTTGATAGCAAATGCCAGAGATGAAAAGAGTGTGGTCAAATCCTCACTGATACTTCCATTTGCTAACAGAGTAGAATTCAGTGCAATCCGAGTTGATTGATGAACTGATTTGCTGAGAGACCTCAAACGACCATGAATAATGGGAATGTTATCAACTTGATCACACTGCAGAGTACCACGAAACTTTGATCCGTTAAGCAAAACCTTCAAATCACTAGCAACAGAAGCCATATCTTTATCAGAAGAGCCATCACCAGAGTCTGTGAATAAATTTAAGGCAGTTGAAGTGTCAGCCTTCAAGGCCTCACAAGACAAGGCTGCAACAGCATCTGCAACTATGGTTAATGAGGAGGCTGTGTAGTCCAGGAGAGCACAGATGCCATTAACAGTAATATTTGGCCAGCAACCTCTTAACATTTCAATGTTGGCATGCTTATCGAAATCCAGATCAAGTGTGAGGGTTTTAGTATCATTGCTCAAGATATCTGATAGCTGAAAAACAGCAGAGGATGAGGGGGATCCACTAAGCAAGTGTTTGTACAGGAGTAGCAGAATGGAAGCTCTGGCTTCCTCAGGGGTTAGAAAATCAGGGACAGATAGTTGAAGCTTGGAGGGGACTGATGCTGAATTCGGTTTATGATTGGAAGGAGATGAAGAGAGCCTTGCAAGAGCAGAAGGATCAATCTGGAGGAGTTGAGGTGGAGAAGCAGTGGAGAATTCAAAGACAGAATCTGAAGAGAGGGTTGAGCCTTTTCCACCTAGCGTCAGCACTCGTCTCTCACCTGCCATATCTGCACAAAACCAGATTTGCAAAGAATGTGTGTTGAGTATTATTATCCTAAATCAGATCAAAGTATTATCATCATTAAAACATGGTGAATGCCGTCTGTTTCTGTAAAACATAGTAAAGGAAATCTGAGTTAAATATCTAATCCTATTTAGCAATGCAGATAGTCAACATAGATAGATAGTATAACTGAGCAATTAAACACCAAAATACCTAAAATTACAGTTCTTACCCGTGAATGTATCTATAAAAATCAAAATGGAAGAACAATTCATTCAAAATCAGTCATCTAACTTAGATCAAATTTACTAATTTAGGACAATAAAAATCAAATATTAGATAAACAGAAGAAATGCTCATTACTCATCACTCATCGGCTCAATCTAGACAAAACATTAGCAAATTTCTGGAAAAGAGAACATTTAATAGTGTGTGAAATCCTAATTAGTTGATTCCCAAAGTCCAACAACAAGCAAATGGAGGAACAATTCATATTACTCATCAATCAGCTCATTCTAGACAAACATTAGCAAATTTCTGCAAAAATTCATTTAACTGTGTGTGAAATCATAATTACTTGCATACCAAATTCCAACAACAAGCAAATTCAATACTCAAGTCTCAATACTCAATAGATTGGCTGCTGATTTCCAGCAGAATTAGAAAAGAGAGAAAACAGAAACGAAGACAAGAAAGAACAGCCGAAGTCGAACAGGAGAATACCTGATTTTCTTCTGTGAACAAGAAAGAACAGCAGAACAGCCGGTGGACAGCGGTGCTGCGGTGGTGACTGGCAGGCGTCCGACTAGCGAACGATTGAACGAAGATGGGGGATTGATAGCTCTAGGTTCTTGTAGGTAATGGGATGGGAAGGAAGATGGCAGTGATGACGGTGTTGAGTGTGCGTCAGGGCTGCAGTGACGGTATGTCTAGGCCGACGGGAATGGGGGGGGTTTGCGAGAAAGAAAAAGCGAGGGTTGGGGGTTGGCGTTTGTATTATTTTTAGGGTTTTGTATTTATTTTATATTTTTGTTTACACCAAATTGTATAATATTAAATAAAGTTTGTTAACCAAAAAAAAAAAAAAAAAAAAAGACAAACAGGAGTAATCATACTTTTTTCAAAGGACTAATAAGATAAAACTTCTAAAATTGAAAAAAGTTTTAATATATATATTTTTTTTATTATTGTTATGGCCACAACTTTCTTGTAGAATTATCATTCTAATCTATTTAACGAGTTTCATGGTTAAGTTTTTTTTTTTTTTATAAAATAACCGGAGGGTCCCACTAAGACACATTGACCGGAAGGTCTCGTAGGGTTATAGCCTCGAGTGGCTAATTATATGTGCGTGGTATTATGGCGAACTCACTAAGCATTTGTGCTTACCGTGTTATGTGTTATGTGTTTCAGGTACCTCAGAGGATTGCGGGAAGGCACCGGTGTGATTGTACACACACCCTTGACATGGAGCCATGTTTGTGGATCATGGATTTGAATAATTGTTTTGAAAACTTGTTGATTGATTTTGAGAATTAATGATGAAACATATGTTTTATGTGTATTAAAAATGAAAATTTTGGGTTGAAAATTTACGATGTTACAAGTTGGTATCAGAGTCTTGGTTTGAGGGATTCGGATACACCTTCGGGCATATCTGGACTCATACTGAGGATTTGAGAAAAGTTTTCAAAAAGAAACAATTTTTCTAAAAAGAGTAAAAGATTTCCAGAAAAGCGGAGAGGAACAGTGTGTACAATCAGCCAGCGTCCGAACGGTGATTTCCCAAAATACCCTTACTTTATGTGTTACGAGCTGTTATGAGATATGTTATGCATGCTAGAGAGTAGGCTAGGTATTTCATAATTTAGGACTAGAGTGGCCTGATTTGTGATGCCTTAGCCTAGGGGTTTGCTATCTGAGATTTGCTTGAGTGCAAATAAGGAGCAGGAATGAGTTCAAGATAGATCTTCTATGATAGTAGTCGATGTATGACGAGATATAGAGTAATTGTGAGCTAGGATCCTAGGAGGAGGACTTGGGATGAACCCAGATACGGTGTGGAAGGTAGTATTGGGTCCGTACTATTGGAAACACCGGATCAGTGAGCAGCCCAAGTAAGAATCCTTAGGGTACTAGAGGACAAATAGGAGCGAGTGATCGAGTGTGAGTAATCTTGGTCGAGTTTCTAATTATTTATGTTGTGTTTCAGAAACATCATGGTGGGTACGCGCCACAACCCAGGAGGTAGTGGTATCAGCGGTACCAGTGATGAGGAGATTCGTAGGTTGATTCACGAGGAGGTGGTCGCAGCCATTCGAGCTGAGATACCAGAGATGTTTGGGTCTATCAAGACCACGTTGATTGAGACATTTGATGAGTGATATGCTGCTCTTACCGAGGCTGCTGTTGCTGCAGCCACTGCAGCCGTCGCTGCTGCCAGGCCACAGGGAGGTGACTCGTTGCTGTACCGGGAGTTCAGCAACACGAAGCCACCAGAGTTTGGCGGGACTCGGGATCCGATAGATGCGATGAGATGGATCTCTGACATTGAGGGATGCTTCTACACATGTTCTTGTCCAGAGCATCTGAGGGTACGGTTCGCGCTGAACCAGCTTCCCTTGGGAGCGAAGGACTGGTGGAAGTTTGTGACAGCTGACTTTACTACTGCAGAGCTTACCGTAGTGACTTGGGAGAGGTTCACCGCTATGTTTCGAGACGAGTACGTTCCCCCGGTGGAGAGGGAACGGTTGGACCGGGAGTTATTGTCCCTCAAGCAGGGGACTGAGTCTGTGACTGTGATCACCCGGATGTTTCATGAGAGGGCGTTGTTTTGCCCTGAGCACATGTCTACTGAGCAGGCACGTATGAGCCGATATCTGAGCATTCTGAGGAGAGACATTCGTGAGTTCGTGGCGAACTCGACATACCGAACATTTGCCGAGCTCCAGGCAAATGCTCGGAAGAGGGAGATTGAGCTGGAGACTCAGGCAGGGAGGAGGTGGAGTCTCAGAGGAGGAATAGGCGGCCGACACAGTCTCAGCCGACAGCCAAGCGGTAAAAGCCCGCTGATTCGAGATCTGGAGGCCAGAAGGGCCGCACTTGTGGGAAGTGCGGCAAGGGACATGAGGGGATCTGTCGAGCAGGCGCTTGCTACAAATGTGACAAGGAGGGGCATATAGCCAAGGATTGCCCCAAGGAGGTCATGGTCTGTTTTCACTGCAACCAGACTGGCCATAGGAAGGCCGAGTGCCCGCAGTTGATTCAGGGATCTGCGCCTTCTGCTACTCGAGCTACCGAGAGTCGGTCGATGAAGGCCGAGGCACCGAAGGCTCGAGGTAGAGCTTTCCAGTTGACAGCGGAGAAGGTCAGTGCAACACCCGATGTTGTGGCTGGTATGTGATCTCTTGCTTATTCTATTATTGAGATATGTTATGCTTATATTGTGATATGCGTAGGTACTTTTCTTGTGAATTCTATGCCTGCTTTGGTGTTATTTGACTCGGGTGCGAGTCGATCTTTCATATCCCTAGCATTTAGTCGTCACATTAGTATCCGACGTGAGGCGTTGAGTCGACCTTTGAGAGTCTCCATAGCTGATGAGCATGTTATTTTTGCGACTGATGTGATCCGGGGATGTGTGCTTGAGATTTTTGGAGTCGATTTTCCGATATATTTGATACCTATTACGATGGGGGATGTCTGTGTCATTGTGGGCATGGACTGGTTGAGTCGATTTGGAGCAGTGATCGACTGCGAGCGTCAGTTGGTGGTCATACGAGCCCTAGTGGGGGAGTGCTTACAGTATATGGTGAGGGTACCCGATCAGGGTCGGCATTTTGTTCGGCCGCCAGGGCGAGACAGAGTCTACAGCAGGGTTGCAGTGGTTTTATAGCGTATGTGATGGATACACGAGTTGCTGCTGGGAGACCGAGTTCTATCGCTGATGTTCCGATAGTGAGTGAGTTTCCAGATTTTTTCCTCGAGGAGTTGCCGAGTGTGCCTCCCGATAGGCAGGTGGAGTTCCGTATTGATTTGGTTCCGGGGGCGGCGCCTTTCGCTAAGGCACCCTACCGCCTTGCGCCGCCACAGATGCAGGAGTTGTCCTCACAGCTCCAAGAGTTGTTGGGGAAGGGTTTTATTCGGCCGAGTAGCTCGCCGTAGGGAGCACCGATCCTTTTTGTCAAGAAAAAGGACGACTCACACCGGATGTGCATTGATTACCGGGAGTTGAACAAGCTGACGGTCAATAACCATTATCCACCCCCGAGGATCGATGATCTGTTCGATCAGTTGCAGGGTGCATCTTGGTTTTCCAAGATCGATTTAAGGTCTGGTTATCACCAGATGAGGGTTCGTGAGGATGATGTTCAGAAGACAACATTTAGAACTCGTTATGGACATTATGAGTTCGTGGTGATGCCTTTCGGGCTCACCAATGCACCAGCAGCGTTCATGGATCTCATGAACCGGGTATGCAGGCCTATGTTGGATCGTTCGGTGATCGTGTTCATCGACGATATTTTGGTGTATTCGAGGTCTAGAGAGCAGCATGAGGAGCATTTGAGAGAGGTCCTCGGAGTATTGAGATCGGAGAGGCTTTATGCCAAATTCTCCAAGTGTGATTTCTGGTTACGAGAGGTCCAGTTCTTGGGGCACCACGTTAATCAGAATAGGATTTTGGTTGACCCGGCCAAGATTGAGGCGGTTATGAGTTGGGAGGTGCCGGGATCCCCCACCGAGATCAGGAGTTTTCTAGGATTAACTGGTTACTATTGGAGATTCATCAGAGATTTCTCCAAGATTGCGGTTCCACTCACCAGATTGACCCGGAAGGGCGTTACTTTTACTTGGGGTCCCGAGCAGCAGGCCTCGTTTAAGACTCTTCGCCAGAGATTGTGCGAAGCTCCAGTGTTAGCTCTTCCGGAAGGAATGGAAGACTTTGTGGTTTACTGTGATGCATCTATACCGGGGTTAGGTGCAGTGCTTATGCAGAGAGGGCACGTGATAGCATATGCATCGAGGCAGCTGAAGCCTCATGAGACGAGGTATCCCACCCGCGATTTAGAGTTGGGGGCAGTGGTGTTCGCCCTCAAGATCTGGTGCCATTACTTGTACGGGGTGCGGTGTACCATATACACGCACCACAAGAGCTTGAAGTATCTGATGGATCAGCCCAACCTGAATATGCGCCAGAGGAGGTGGTTGGACGTGGTAAAAGATTATGACTGTGAGATTCTGTATCACCCGGGCAAGGCTAACGTGGTAGCCGATATCCTGAGTCTCAAGGCGGAGAGTGCCCCGATTCGGGATATATGCATGAGGATGACAGTGGTGACTCCGGTATTGGATATCATTCGAGAGGCCCAGGCGGAGGCCGTGAAACCGGAGAACTGCAAGAGGGAGAGGGTGATTGGACAGGTGTCCAAGTTTGTGACAGATAGCCGAGGACTTATGACCTTCCGAGGGCGGATTTGGGTGCCCTATACAGGCAGGGCTCGGAGTATACTAATGGAGGAGGCCCACAGATCGAGATTCTCGATCCATCCCGGGGCCACTAAAATGTATTTGGATCTGAAGAGAGATTACTGGTGGCCTTGTATGAAGAGGGATGTCGCGTGGATAGTTGAGAGGTGCTTGACTTGCCGCCGGGTCAAGGCAGAGCACCAGCGTCCGCATGGTCCATTATAGCCCCTGAAGATTCCCCAGTGGAAGTGGAAACAGATTTCGATGGACTTTATCACCAAATTACCGAGAACGACGCGTGGATTTGACGCGATCTGGGTGATTGTGGATCGGTTGACGAAGAGTGCTCACTTCCTTGCTATTAGTGAGAGCTCTTCTGCTGAGAGGTTGGCTGATATTTATGTACGAGAGGTGGTAGCTCGGCATGGAGTGCCGACGTCCATAGTGTCGGATCGGGATGTGCGTTTTACTTCCAGATTTTGGAAGAAGTTCCATGAGGAGTTGGGAACACGATTGCATTTTAGTACCGCCTACCACCCACAGACAGACGGGCAGAGTGAGCGAACGATTCAGACGCTCGAGGACATGCTTCGAGCATGTGTTATGGACTTCGGTGGGAGTTGGGACACATACCTACCCTTGGCTGAGTTTTCTTACAACAACAGCCATCACTCGAGCATTGGTATGCCTCCCTTTGAGCTCCTGTATGGGAGAAGGTGTCGTACCACCACCTGTTGGGGATAGGTGGCGCAGAGAGTTATGGGCAGCACTGAGATAGTGCTAAAGACGACTGAGCAGATTCAGCAGGTCAGACAGAGGATACTGACAGCCCAGAGTCGCCAGAAGAGTTATGCGGATAGGCGACGATCCGAGCTCGAGTTTCAGGTCGGAGATTTTGTAATCCTGAAAGTTTCCCCATGGAAAGGGGTGATCCGGTTTAGAAAACGAGGAAAGCTGGGACCCCGATACATCGGTCCTTTCAGAGTGACCGCCAGAGTGGGGAAGGTAGCTTACCATTTGGAGCTGCCTGATGAGTTGAGTCAGATACATAACACCTTCCATGTGTCCCAGTTGCGGAAGTGTGTGGCCGACGAGACGACAGTGGTACCACTACAGGACATTCAGGTGGATGCGAGCCTTAATTACATCGAGAGGCGATCGCGATCATAGATCGGAAGGTGAAGGTTTTGAGGAACAAGGAAGTGCCCCTGGTTCAGGTTCAGTGGTAACATCAGAAGGGGTCCGATTTGACTTGGGAACCGGAGTCGTATATGCGGGAGCAGTACCCCAAGTTATTTACGGAGCAAGACTTCGAGGGCGAAGTCTGATTCAAGTGGGGGAGAATTGTAACATCCGGTTTTCCAGGTATATTAATTTAAGCATTTTTTTATGAGGATCTTGGGTGGACTCAACGAGTTGGTGCCCCAACTCGTCGAGTGGGATCGCAACTTGGTGACGTGTTTAATGAATGGACTCGACGAGTCGGGTATCTGACTCGCCGAGTCAGCGCTGCTGAGGAAAACCCTAATTGCTCGGGTTTGTGGCCTATTTAAAGGCTCTTATGGCCTTCATTTGCGGCCATACTTTCCCTTGAGAGACCCTAATCGATCCAGAGAGCTTAGAGAGAGTGGGAGCTAATTTCTTCATTTTGGTGCATTCTTGCAAGGAAGAAGGAGAGGGTTCAAGCTTAGCTGTCTAGAGGGGCTCAGATCTTTCTCCATTTCATTCAGGGCTGCTGTTGGAGGTATGAATCTATACCTGTTTTCGTATGTTTAGTAGATCTCTTAAAGTTAGGGTTTCTTTACCTTCTTTTAAGTTGAGTTATGAAATATGTGAAGTCCCTTTGAGGCTTAGACATCAGATCTAGACCTTGAGAGGTCCAGAGAGTCCCAAGAACCCAACTTATGCAATCATATAAGAATATTGAGCTTAAGACACCATTATGAGGGTTATTTTGCCAAATAGAGCTAGATGAGTGATGCATGGTCATAAAGGTCGAACCTTTACGTGATTAATGAGCCTTTAGTGCATAGATTTGAAGTTTGGGAAAGTATCTTGCACTAAATCGACTGAATGCAAAAGGGT